GGAGGACGACTGCCTTTTTCGGCACTGAGTTTTATGACCAAGATCTTGATTTAATTCTTGACTGTCAAAAAGAGTTTAATGTTATGTAATTTTATAAATAATAATGTTTTTTTGGTTCACATTATATATTTTCACGCTTACTTTAGAACTGTTAGCAAAAATACGTTTTTCATTATCTGGTATCACCGGAAACTGTTAATTTTGCTTTATACAAAAATTGTAAAAACATTTACATTTACATTTATATGAAGCGCCTCATTTGCATTTAAATTTGCATTAGCATAAAACTAACAAACATATAGGATACATTTAAACCACTCTACTCAATCGTAAAGACATAGATTTAACATTTACAATTTACAAGTTAAAGCAGTATCTGTTCATGCATGTATAATTATATTTTTATTATTATTTGCTAGTATGACACCCTCACGTTGTGTACATTAATAATTCACATACAAAATTATTGTTGTTTGTAATTAACTATTTTTTCTTTTGTGTATGAAATTTTATGTCTTCGTTTTACATCCATGACTAACGCTGGGAAGTAATATAAAAATTGTTTTATTTTGTGCAAGGTAGATATGCAGCAGCGTTAAATATGAAGCAAATGAAACTCGCATTGTAGAGAAAGAAAGAAATGTTGCTTCTTCTTGCTGAATTAAGCAGTAACAGTTTTGCTGTACTATAAAAGAAATTAAATACAGTAAAATGAATGTAAAAAAATTATGCTACTAGTACTGAGTGTTAGAAGAGTGTTACTGAGTTAGAAGGTAAATGTTTTTATTTGGAATTACATAATTCAGCATTTAATAAACAATATTTTTTAATCAACAAACTATATAAGAATAACCATAGTATTTGCTTAAAATTGTAAGTAAATATTTGTTATGTTTTAAGTAATTTTAGAAGCTTGTCTTAAAATTCGAATGATTTTCGTTGTGAATAGAAACTGAGTTCGGTTTCCTTCGAGTTCGTAGGTGGTGAAAGTTTTCAAATTTAGCTTTTGAAAATTACACATAATTCTTCAATCCTCTTATTCTTTTTTGCCTTCTACTTAGAGAAAAAAAAATGCTGAAATTTTCACTATTGAATTTACTAAACACGTCTTTAACTTTTTACCATGAGAAAAAATATTTTAAATAAAAGTGTTTCATAATAACTTCGTCTTGTTATAAACAAATGGAAATTCTTTTAACTCTTGTAAAGTTACAATTTATGGCCTGCTAGAAGTTCTGATTTAATTTCCACATAGTTCTATCTATGGGGCATTCTGAAAAATAAAATGAACAAGAAATATACACGAAGTTAATATTATCAATGAGGTGGATATTAAGGGAATTATGAAACAAAACTTGCTTACAAATTTTGTAATAGAAAAACATATATTTCTATTACAACAAATCGATAACCATACAAAATCATTGCGCAAACTACCAAAATACATACCACTTGGTTATACTAATATACCAATTGTCTCTTTATTTATATGTTTTTTGAAATTGTGAGAAAATTTCCTAAAATTTTGATTTATAGTCAATTTTTTCTAAATAGAAAGGCAAAAAAGGAAATGGAACTTTATGTAAATACCCCTGTACAAAATGCAAAATATGGAAAGTATAATACTAGAAAATCTGTCGACACTCAAATCAAAATGCAGTTACAATCGTAGATTTTTTAAGATGTGAACGCGGTCCAAGAGTAAAGAAAGATATCATAAAACAATTTTATCAGTTAAATTCAGATAAATTACAAAATAATTCATGCTGATTGAACTATTATGAGTAGGTTTAGTACGGCGCGGAGTTTAACAGGACCGTAGTCAGATTACGAATGAAAATATTAATATGTTCACGAAAATATGTCGCAAATAGTACTATTACCAAAGGGCAAGGCTAAGTAGAGTATAAAATACCTATATACATTTAAATAACACCACTTACCCGGTAAATCTTAGTGTTGAGACAAGGCTTCTGTGGCATATTGGAAGGAGCTAAAACATATTTCTACGTGCTTTTCTAAGTTTTCTATAGTGAAATGGCAACGTTTGTCACTTAATATTAAGTAGTGTAGGGAAAATGACCATCAACGTCTACTGGTGGCAACAGACAGTATGAGAAATTGTTGAGACATGAAATATACATTAATATATTTGCTGGTAACTCCTGATATGTACCAGATAAAACGCGAGTCAGCTGTGAAGGCCACCGACTCCTGCGCCGGCTCTGTTAGACTCTACACGTGCACTAAGCCTAATTATGAGGAAATCTTTATCTATGACTATTACTAGTTCTTTTAGTTTTTGTAGATGATCTAATAGTAAGATATAAAGAACCGGAATATAATTATAATTCAGAAGAAAAATACGGTAAGAAAATAGAAGGGGGCATGGTATTTACTGATTTTTATGAATAATGTGGAGTAGGCCTCGTGTTTATGGAAATAAAAAAATTTAAAAAACGACATCTATATTGTTATTTGAGATGCACCTATATCTGAATAAAACTCCCGGATTTTTTGCAACGAATAATGTGTCTGAAGTACTTTCCTACGTACCCTCGTATACATTTGTACGATCCCTATCTTTATCTGTCCTAATGATCGTGTGTATACATCAAAAGCGGTATTTGCGTTACGTGAGTACATTTACAAAGCGTCGGCTTTGTTTATAACATTAAAAGCATACAGTGTGGTGGGTGGTCAGCTTGCTGCTGCAGGACGAAAATGACGATGCATTCTAAATTTTTCACATCGCAGGCAGCACCGCTGCAAGCGCTGAAAGGAATGCAAGATATCTCGCACGATCCAGATCATTTTCAAAATTGCTTGTCTGTCTACAGAGTGTACCATTTAAGATTGAAACATCATTGTAAAAAAAGGTATTTATGCTTAATTTTTTTTTAAATAGACGCCGTTAAACATTTGAATGAATTGGTAATCATCAAAGTCATTCTGTTGTAATCAAATTTGGTATAGTCTTTCCGAAGTCAGTTGAGCATGTATAAAAACGCCTAGCAATAAAATTTAATGAGTTTCTTTCATAGGTGTCCCTAAAAAAGTTTTCTGTTAAAGGTAAAAAATTATAATAATTTGTATATAATGTGTAGAAAATTTCTATTAATGTTAATTTGGCCAACAACATATTTTTTTTTATATAAATCATAAATTGTCCGCCGAATTACATCTCTCGTCATGTCATAGATATTTTTAAATTTTTGTTTTCGCTTATATAATAACTCGAAAAATTGTGGACACTGAAACTTTATAGTTAATATGTGAATTCTATTTAAAATTTCATTATCTGATTTTTTGTTTTCTTCCTTTTTTTTCAATCGTCAATATTTAAAGTGAGACGCTAACCTTGAACATGTTAATCTTTATTTTTAAATTCTAAATCAGTTTCATCAACAACCGGTTCTACTAATTCGATATTGTCTGGCGGTATTTCGTTTTGTTCCGTTTCAAAAAGGTCTCCAAAATGCCATGTTGTAATAATAACATATACAAAATATTCCTCTTATTTCTCCCTTTCGCAATTGTAATATGAATGATTAATAGAAGGTGCCTATAATAAATTGAAATTACCTGAATTCCACCAAATTCCGCATTGCTGCACTGCACTGCTAGGCAATTTGTCGACAACTGAAATTTACGACCCAGTCGCCCAGAGCGTCTTTGTTCTTGCGCCGTTTGCCCGCTTGCGCATTCTTCAACTGGGCGTATATATTTCTACCACCTCTACGTTTCGTTCGACCAGACCTGTATATTATGGGTATGGCTAAATAAATATAGGAACAAATTCTTCAAATATTTCAATGACGAGTTGCTGCGTAGCGACCGAACTTGGTACATACTGCCTAGCTCTTTGGTCTTCAATTGAGATCGGAAAGACTATACCATTTGGTACAAACTCCGTTTAAGGGATGCTAGTAAGGTTTTAAATAACATAATCTTTAATAAGTGTCCAAAATTGACGACCAGAAAATTGATAACTAAAATGATCTGCAACGTAATAGAATTCTTCAGTTCTACTTTTCAAAGAAAAAAACCTGAAGCAAATCGGATCATACTTAAAAATACTTTTTTACAAGGGTGTTACCATCTTAAAAGGATCATATTATACAGTATGATAGATGGTTAGCTGCCATTGCTGGAAAACAGAAAGAGCAAATAATATGCCGCAAGCCAGATTTTTATGGGTTAAACTTAAAATCCCCAATTTCAGAGATATTTGTTTACATTATACGTAAGCCCTTTTTTTTCAACAACTTTTATTAAAAAAATTTTTCTATATCACGTCTCATTCAAAACATATAAGACCATATACATATGTAGAGAAAAATACCGTTTGGTCAAGTCTGTTACTGATTTTGTCAGTGTTGGTGTTGAAAACAAGGTACTTTTAATGTAATGTACTGACATAAATCATTGTCTCTATAAAGTGGTACTGCAAATTTTGAATGTTATCCGAAAAATCAAAAATCGATTTACAAAAAAAATCATTCAAAATAAATTTATACACAGATAGACAATGATAGAAAAAAAATTGACTGTTGACAAATTATTTATAACTATAATAATCTAAATATTGAAAAGTGTTTTATTTTTTATGGCAACGCTACTAAAATCAGTAACAGGCTTGATCAAACCAGTGCTTATTTCTCAATACGTATCGCCTTATATCTTTTGAATGATACATATTAAAAAACTTTTTTAGTAAAAGTTGTTGAGAGAAAAAGGGATTCTCACATGATTTAAAAAAATGTATACGAAACTGGAAAACATAATTTCGATGACATCAGAGTCCTTAGGGCGTTAAATTTATCAGGTTACACTATTCCATAAAGTTCCGCGTTTGGTTTCCTGTAATCGCATTTTTTAATCATCGGTTTACGGCATTTTTATCAAAATAACGAAATATATGGGAACATCTTGCGAAATATCTTGTATTTACTTCTGGTTCGACGCCTACCGTGCTAATAGATTTTTCATATTTGCAGGGCGCTTATCTAATCAGTTGGTTGATTCTTTTTTTGTGTGCTGTGGTGTGAATATAGTGGATTTAGTTTATCTAAGAGTTAGTGTTGCGCTATATTGTAACGTGTGCCATGGAACGTATAGGATAAAATGGGAAAGGGAGCCAGCAAGCTGAAGAAGAAATCCAGTTTTCAGAGTACGTATATAGAGTAGGAAAAGTTATTGTTATGTCTAACTAATTTTGTAAAAGGTAGTTTCATTAGTGTTGCCTACGTAAAAATAGGTGACTGACACCAATCAAACTCTTGGAAAAATAATATCGCTAAAATTACTAACGAATTTATCCTTGTAACTGTTGAAATAACAGTTTACTATCAGTTGTTCATAGAATATTAAAAACAACTACTAATCAGACTTATCACACTACGATTTTGTTTGATCAAAATAAATTGTCGATATCAAAATTAACTTTCATATCCCTATAAGAACGATCCGAAAAGCTACCAGTTTATTTTTTCGAATAATAGTTTGATTTCTACCTATCTTTCATCAAATTGGAAAACAGAACCATTAATGAGAGTTTGAATTTGGTTACTTTGATCTTTTTATGAAACTCGTCGTGACATTGAACATGACGAAATTTTAATAACTTACGGGTTTAATTGAAAAAATTTGATGTCCAAGTATACAGGGTGATCTAAATTGTCTCCAGATATTTTGAAGAAATACAGAGTGTTAATTAAACGCACTGACAAATTTTAAGGGGCGATTTTAAACAAAAAAGTGTCGTAAACATAGGTCGGTAAATAAAATATGTCGAAATTTAAAAAGATATCACCATTTTTGAAACATCTCTGAAGGTGTTTGATACGGAATGGTGAATTCTAGTTTAATAATAGTGGAAAAATTGTATAGAATTCGGAATTAATTTTATTAAAAACCTCAAAATAAAATATATCTTTAATTTTATTCGAAAATTCTCATTAAAGTTGCCAAGCTCTTCGTTAACATAACTCTAGAACTGCTCGTTTCGCAAAGAATTTGTTATAACTTTTTTTCTAAATGTGTATACGATTTTAAATACAACATAATCAAGAAATTTCGAGAATTGATACAATTTTTTTTCCTGGTTATACCTCTTGCTACCTCTAAAAAATGCAAAATTACGCCATTAATTTTTTTGGACGTCATATGTTTTTATTTAAAATTGAATTACTAACAAAAATATAGTAGGAACTTTTTTTGAAACATTTACATTTTGTGAAGTGATTGGTGACGTTAATGAATATGAAAAAAAAAAATTCATTTTCATTTCATATTTTAGATAAAATAAAAAACATTTCTTTCTTGGAAACACCACAAATTTCTCAGGCTCTCAGTGAGTAATATCAGTAGTAGGTATATCCGAATTCAATAATTTTTTACCTTTAATTAGATATAATCTAGGAGCCAGATAGGGTTCCGTGGCCAGTCAGAGTGCCACCGCTGCAAACAACTTATTCTTAAGTATTTTGACCTCCTGAATCCTAAAAACTAGGTCGCGAAGCCTGCAAGTGGTCAGTTTAATTTTTATTAACAAATTAAATATGTTTGCAGCCGTGGTATTCTGATTGGTCACGGAACCCTATCTGGCTCCTAGAGTAATAAGTCGGTAGCCTAAATGTCGACATTCTGCATCAAACGTCTTCACAGATATTTTAGAAAAGGTGAAATATTTAAAGAAGAAGAAAGTTTTAAGTTTGTCGACGTACTTTAATAAAACCCTGTCTAATACAATAAAAAATAAAGATACGTTTTCATAAAAACTTTTGTTCCGATAATGAATAATAAGGAAGACATACCCCTTCAAAGAGATTTGGTAGACATATATTGTGTTATATTTTAAAGAAATATATCTTATTTATATTTTAAACTTAAATTTGGGAACACTGACTTACGCAGTACTCAGGGCGAGGGCGGCTTAGCTACTTGGCATTCATGTCATTGATATGAAAAGCCAAACAACGCTGATCGAGGACTTGAATGGATGACCAACCGGGGAAGGCTCGCGATGCTCGTCCAACTTCTAGTGACCTGTATGAAGCTACACAAAAGGCCAGTTTTGTAATGGTCTTATCTTTACCCCATTTAAAAAATATTTGAAGGATCTTGGACTATTAAAAAGATCAAGTACTCTTGTTTAATTTAGATTATAATAAATTTCATAACATTGAGAGCACATGCTTTAATATGTCATTTTGAACAATTTTCTTTATCGAAAACCTACTATGCTACAAATGCATACTTATATTTGAAATGTAAACATGAATATCTCGAAAAAATTTCACTAATCAAAGTCTGATTAGTAATGGTCTTATCTTTACCCCGTTTAAAAAATATTTGAAGTATTGATTTTGGACTATTAAAAAGATCAAGTACTCTTGTTTAATTTGGATTAAGTATAATAAATTTCATAACATTGAGAGCACATACTTTAATATGTCATTTTGAACAATTTTCTTTATCGAAAACCTACTATGCTACAAATGCATACTTATATTTGAAATGTAAACATGAATGTCTCGAAAAAAATTTCACTAATCAAAGTACAGCAGAAGTAGGTGTTTTTCGTAATAGTCTAGAGATCAAGACTTTTTAAATTGAATGAAAATGAAATACTTACGCAACGTTTTTTAAAAAATATGAATAAGATATCTCGAAGGACTTTTAAAGTAACATAAGAAACTTCATCTCTACCTCATTTAAAGAGTAAAATTCGTGTAACATTTATGTAATATTAAATAAAACCTTTAAAATAGTATACTGATTATACATTAATTTACTTGAATATTCCATGGCAACAGGTTACCATGGAAAGTTCAAGGAATTTTACCATATTTTCTATTACAGCGCACGTCCTGAAAATAACTGCAGACAATTTTGTATCATCCTGTATCTTAAATAATCGATATGCAAGTTATTTATGTAATGTGGACATGAAATCGGAATATGCATCAATAAAGATAAATATTTTATCGCCGCACATTTTATGATTTATGTACGTTAGTTATGATTATGAATGCAAGCTACACCGATAAAAATGAGATATAACGTAACTGTGACTAAAATCTTTTGCCAGATACAAGGTAGTACAGATTTTGGACGAGTTGTACGTGATCATGATGAAAGAAGTAGTGTGGATGGTTTTTTTGCTAAAATAATCGATGATTATACAGGGTGTTTCAGACTTACCAAAAAAAATTGAATGTACTGGGGACTCTTACAAACACAATTTTATAAAAAACGATCAAAAAGGGTATTTAGAAAATAATTTAAAAATGCAGTTCTGCACGATACTGGAAACTGGTCCTTGTAAAACCTGACCATGTGCAAGGCAAAGCATGCAGTCGGCGACCCACACGGCGGCAAAGTGTGATGAAAAATGAACTGGTAAAAAATTTAAAAAATTTCATTCCCAAGGAAAGAAATAAATAAAATTTTAGCCGTTCACATAACAAACGTTTTTCATGATAAAACAATCACCATGTACGGATTTCAAAACAGGCAAGCACCAGTACCTAAAGCAGTCAGAGCTTTTGGTAGATTCTGCGGTTCCAAAGATGTTTCTTCATGACTTGATTCAATATTAAAAAAATATATATTCTTTTTACAAAAAAAAACTCTTTCCTCCGTTTATTTACTCTATAAATGTTCTCTGTAAGGTTCTAAACACCCTGTATATAAAGTAGAGCCGTGATGGTAAAGTAAGCAGAATATCAGTAGCACTTGAAAAACTATTGGATTAATTGTAAAAAATTTTTGTAAAACTTGTTAAAATCCGATTAATCTCGCATGTAGTACAAAAAAATACATCAATATATTTAGAGTTATTTTAAATTCCAAGTAGACCAGAACCAGCCATTAGCTGATTATTCTGTGACCTCGCGAATATCTAATTTTAAAAATAATTTCTTGCAGACTGCCTTGACCCCAAACATAATTAATTTCATCTTCGAAACCACATATCGAGGCTGGCATCCAAACTGCCCCGTGTGAATATATATATTCACCTTTTTACATATTTCAAAGCGTTGAGAATATAGATAGGTACCTAGGAATTAAAATAAAGTACATCCATTTTTATTAACATCGAGAATATACTGCCTTTACGATCTCTCAGCGTCTAGCATCTTTATTGCCCAATAAAACTTGAAAATAATATTTAGACGTTCGATGTTCTTTCTGGCACGCCGCACAGGGTTCAAAGCAGGAGCGTACTGAGAATGAAGGGTTATTATCACCCTAATTTATATCATGTGCATGTATTTTGGTAGAATATGTAATTTTTTCCTATTTTGTAATTATTATGGTATGGTAAACAATTCTATTAACAAATAAGACAAAATACATTACCACTTTTGTATTCAGTTTGCTTTTTAAGTAAGTAAGAAAAAAATCAATTTTTGTTGTTTAATTGATAAATTAATATTTGTCTTTTCATCAAATTATACTGGGTGATTCAGTCATAATGTCATTAATTTTAACCACGTATTTGGAAGGCCTAATAAAGACAGAAAATCTAGAAAAATAATTTTCCTTTTAAAAAATCCCTTTAAAAAATAAGCAAATTACTCCTTAACTCCCGTCAACTCGGCGCCTTACTTCGCAACAGGGAACGCGGCGGCCGGTGGACTACAAAGCGTTCGAACGTTGAAGCGAAACAGCTGATTTCCCCTGTCGTCTTGAATTTTTCAATTGGTTTCAAAATCAGTACAGCGGATCTGAACTTTATTAACAAAGTGCTATGGAGGGATAAGTGTTTTTTAGCAGTACTGGCATTTTAAATAGGTAGGTACCATACTGCTGTTTGAAAAGCAATTAGTCACTACGTACTACAAACTGAATAGTTAATTGACTTGAAATAATACTAAAAACTCATGTACAATTGAAAACGTTAACGTTTTATCGTTCACTACCGATTAAAAACGCAGTAAAAGCTAGGTTAGTGACCGAATAAGATAGGTCAAGATTCACTCTCGATAAACCTTTGTAGGTCAGCGATCAGGAACGGTCCAAAAAGGGGTTTAAATAATGATTTGAACATTTTTTTGTGTAAATATTCATTTTAAAATTGTTTTAATAGCGTATTCGTATTCTACTCATTTTCCGTATCTTCCTTTAAAATTAAAGACATTATGACTGAATCACCCTGTATGT